TAGAATCGCATTGGTTTCCCCAAGCAGAATTAGGGTGATATTACTAGGAAATCAAAACAAAACAATTCATGTGCTAGATAGGCAAAACAACAGACATTGCTTGCAAAATCTTAAAGTAGCAACTATCTTTTATGGGGTGAATGCACATATTTAAAACTGTATGGTAAATTATGCCTCACCCAGTATGTATTTATGTGCTGTGTATGTGCATGTTTTCTTTCTGTTACATGTATGATCCTGTACACACTTGTCACATACATAGTGTCTTAATGGTCATGGAAAATTAGATGACAAATAGTGGTGGAAAAAATGAACAAAGTTTTGATCATTGTTTAATTTATTAAAAGAACAACTCCACCTAAGATTCTTCCTGCCTGTTGCCAACAGTGACAAAGTAGTTGGAGATACTGCAAATATGCTTCTGAGAACCTTCTGCAGCTGTTGCAAAAATGGGGCTGAAAGCTAAAGGAATGTAATCACCAGGAAAACATTTTCTATGTCTCTTTAGAATCCCTCTAGGAGACATCTTTGGGTTTTATCACCTCTGAAATCTTATTACCCAACATACTGGTTAATGCATAATGGGTATTCAATGAACATTTATTGAATGAATATTTAAATGAATGAATCAATGGATGATTGCATTTTTAGAACTGGGTTTTACTCAGACACAGATTTTTTTAAATTACTTAACTTGTGGGGCTATTTTATGGAATAGGATTGTCATTTTAAAAAACATATTTTTTGAAAGTTGCATTAGTTTTTGCCCCTCTTCATCATTTACAAAGAAGTAAGCCAAATTTTGGTATTTAACAAAAATAAATTGACCAGGAAATGGTAGAATATTTTTATTCAGAAAATGAATTTTGTATTATTTCCAGATGCTAAAAAGTCTGGCACTATTCAACATTGCCTACAATGTAGGAGAGCAAAGATAATGAAAAGCAAAACTAGAGGGTAAGGGTACTCTGACTTTAATTAGCTATTTATTATATAAGAAATGTATTTAAAATGTACCCAACAATTAAATTCTCTCAAGCCAGATATACAGAAACATAGCACTGAATTGAGAGAAGTTCAGAAAAATGTTTAATTTTCAGATATATCAAGAGCTATATCTTATTCCTCAGAATTCTAGAAGAAGGAAACTGAACCCAATAAAATATCAAGTACCATCCCTAACCAGGGTATCTCCAATTGCATCAAAGTTTGGAAGAAGGAGTCATGAAATATGCAAACTTTTCTCAAAATCATTAATATTTGCTTTTATTTTAAAAAGAAATCCTAGGAAGATCAGAGTTCTAAGAGTAGGTTTTCCAATGAACACAGTGGAGTCTACATGACTTTTTATGATTTATCCTCAGAAATCACATCCCATTACTTCTGTTATAATCTGTTGATCAAGTCATAAGCCCACCCAGATCCAAAAGTTAACAGAACCACTTTTTGAAAGGAGGAGTGTCAAAGAATTTATAGCCATGCTTTGAAACTTCCATGACACAGAATTAGGAATGGGCTAAGTTTTCAGAAGAAGATCCAGGATATAATTTTGCTTCATAAATGTTTGCTGAATGCTTTTTCTGTGCTAAGTGTGGTTGGAAGACATAAAATGAATAAGACATATACTGTCTTACCTTCATGAAACTTACAGTTTAAGAATAAGAAGGTAATATAGACATTATTTATTTTAATACCTTCTCTGACTCCTGAGACCAATGAATATCTTTCTTCTTCCTAAGTAGTTAAGAGCCAGCCCTTTGAAAGCTGACAGTTGCTATGTGGTAGGAACTGGCATGGGTTATGTTATGTAATACTCATCAAAAAGTTTTATGATATAAATACTGTTATTTATCCCCCTTTTACAGTTTTGACAGAACTTCTGAGAGGTTAAGTGTTTTACCCAAGGTCACACAGCCAGTAAGGGACAGAACTCAGAAGCAAACCCAATTCTGCTGACACCAGTATTTGATCTTTACCACAACCATTCCACTATCCTGGTCTTCGCTAGATCCAGATGGTTAACAAATGTGAACGTGGTGTTCACCAGATAACATCTTTCAGCTCACCACATATTATTTCCATGTAGTTTCAACTCAAGATTTTTGGGGAGAGCATGTTTTGACTAGCCACAGAAATAAGAGGAAAGTGGAAAATACCAGAAGCTCCCCTCTCAAGACTCCATCATACATTTATCTCATCCTCAGTTTCAACTAGAATTCTTCCTATCTCAAGCAACAAAAACTTCAACTCAGATGGACTTTAAAAATAGTCAGAAATTGAGCTCTGTCAGGCAGGCTTCAGGGAGTTTGGAGTGTTATCATCAGGGATCCTTGCTCTTTATGTCTGATTGGCAAGATGACATTTCCAGCCATTACTTAAGATACAACATCCACAAAAAGGAGAGAGACTATTTCTTCAAACCTCTCTTTCTTATGAAGAAGGAAACTTTTACCACAAGCCCCTCTGCAATCTTTCCCTCTTGTCTCATTGGGCAGGATTGGGTCATGTGCCTTTCTTGGAACCAATCACAGACAAGGGGAATTTGACTAATAAACCAATTAGGCCCATCCCAAGAGCTGGAGTTAGGATCATCTTTTTTTTTTTTTTTTAATTTTATTGATTTATTTGAGAGAGAGAGAGAGCATGAGCGGGGGGTGGGGGTGCGCAGGGGGAGAGGGACAAGCAGACTCCTTGCTGAGCAGGGAGCCCAATGCAGGGCTTGATTCAATGTTCAATGCAGTGCTCAATCCCAGGACCCTGGGATCATGACCTGAGCTGAAGGCAGACGCTTAACCAACTGAGTCATCCAGGTGCCCAGGGGGTCACCTTTTTAAAGGTGCAAGCCTTCATGTGAAGAGGTTGATACCTGAACAAAGTCAGGATTCCTCCAGAAAGGAGAAAATGGGAATGGATGGTAGGTGAGCAACAAGTGTCTGCTACACCCTTCTCTGGTCTGCTATGGTGATTCAACTCATGTCACCCAGTACTGTTCTTTGTCTTCTCTATTTGCTTCATGTAATGGTAATATCTTCATTGTCCCAATAAACTCTGAAGGATGTAAGTTTCTAAGATGGTGAAGCTCATCTCAGACCATGAGGTAAATTGTTAATCACTTGGATGAAAGACTGAGTTTTGGAAAAGGTGAATATTATTTGTTAAGGAGACAAGCTAATGCAAATATTCTTTAAGTGTACTCCATAGTATATTAATTCTAAAAGTGTGTGTGTGTGTGTGTATGTGTGTTTAGAGGAAAAGGTAGATGGAAGTGGGAGAGAAGTTTCTATGCTTTAAAAAATGATGAAACACTGAAAATGATGCACACTCTTTCCCTATTTTACATAGTTATAGTGTGAATTAACATTAAAAACTGAGAAATTCTGCAGTAGAGCGATCTAGTGTTTAACCTAGTATTTCCTCTCTCTTTTTAGACTGGAACACTTCTGAGTATTTCTATTAAAATCCTGCAGAACACATATGCTATGATTACACTTTGAGATACACTAATAATACCTTCTCTTGACTTGTGACATAAGATTTCAATATTCTTAAATTAATACCAGGTATGGAGACATCAAGAGTATTACAGCTTTAAAATCCTACCCCCAAATTATTTTTTTCTTGGAATTCAACTCAATTCAAATAATCCATGTCTAAATATGTAACTATGCTGTACATATACACATACATAATGCATATGTCTATCATCTATCTATCTATCTATCTATCTATCTATCTATCATCTATTAAACTTTGACTGAAGCCCAACCCAGGGAAAGGAATGAATTTGAATGGGGTGGGGTAATGATTTCTATCTGTAGCATGCTGGGTTTTAGATGTCTCTAGAATATTCAAGTGGAAAATTTGAACAAATATTTGGATATGGACATAAAACCTAGAATTTAAGAGATCTAGGTTTCAGTTCAAAAATGCTAGAGAGACATGTAATGAGGCTGAGACTGACTATGTGAAACAGTTGAAGAGGCAGGGTAGCGTGTTATTCATCTAGTGGAGATTTCAGAGGGCATAGCAGGAAGGGCTGAAACAAAAGAGGGATGTTGGCCAGGCATAAAGCATGAAGCAAGAGTACATGAACGGAGAGATAACAGAGGGGCTAACACAGCTCAAGATGACCAAAGATTATATGAGATGTGGGACATGTTAGGTCTAGTCAGCTGTAAGTTTTCCAAGGTAATGAGGCACTTCATCCTCTGGTAGCCAGTGAAAAGTGGCAAGGGTTGTGATAGTATAAGAAACACTACTTATTTCTATGTGCTGTCCACAACCTGAATAAATTGCTCACCAGTGGGTACAGAGATCTTTCTTGCTCCTTTGTTGGTTGTCTCCTTACATATCAGCTCCTCTCTTCTCCATTTCAACACTACAATTTCTCAGGGGGACCAACTCTACCTTGACCTCCAGAATTGGAAGATGTGACCAAGACTAAATCAACTAGAGTACCCTATCCACCTGACCACAGTGATTAGTTCCGTTATAAATATATAACTTAAGCAAGTCTAATAACAGCAGTTTTCCAGATTTTGCTGTGATCATTGGGACAAAAATACATTCTTATTCCTGTTGCATTTGACTAAGGAAGAGATAAGGCAGAAGCTGCTGGCCCCATCTTTAGAATATGAAAGGACACAATCTTAGGACTAAGATGTCACAATGGAAGGTACACCAGAAATACAGAGAGAAACAAGGACTCTGTTGACATTGTTTGAGTTGTTGGATCAGTCCTCAACTGAATCCTTACTCTGGACTTCTCTCTCTTTTTTTTTTTAAGATTTTATTTATTTATTTATTTATTT